GGCAACCGGAGCACAAAGGTGAGTCAATCTGACTACCCTGACTACCCAGTAGCGAGCGAGCCCAGGTGTGTTCGATTCTAATTTCGGTCAGCTGAGTGGGTTTATTACATCTTGACTCTTGGTCTGGGAGCTGTGAGCTATCTGCTCAGGCACTCGCAACCATTTGAGCGTGCCGCCGAGTTACGCTGGACTTCACGAGCAGCGTATTCGCCAGACAGAACCCGCAGACCCTTTTTAGTTGCGGCCTGCGAGGTACGCCTACGAGACTTTGGGCCTCAGGTTTGAAGTGAGATCGACCATAGGTTGACTTCAGATAGACTTACGTTTGGCGCGTACTTCGTCATTGATATATCAGCAACGGAATCCAGGTGCAAACTGACCCACTGACTCCATCGATGCATTTCTATCATCGAAGTTATGCAAAACGCCGCTTAATTGGCTTGGTTCAAAAGTAGGTCTATTTGGGTGTGTATCCTTGTTGTACGACCCCAGTTCCACATGCGCCACGTTTGGGTAAGGCTCTTGTACGGGGTGGTAAAGGCGGTGATGGTCGTCTCGGCCAGGAGATAGGAGCGAGGTCACTTACCTGCCCTAGCTGCATCGTTTATGCAGAGGCTTCCGAAGCCGATAATCCAATAAGAGCAGGTATGTGCTTGCGAGATACGGGGCGTCTTAGATTCCGTTTCTTTTTTGCGGCCCGTACATTGGGAAATTTTTCTCAAGAATATGGCGAATTGTATTGTAAATGCCAGGTATTAAACCCCTGGTTTATCATAAAATCCACTGGGCTGAGCGGGAGGTTTTTTGTTTTTTTTTTGTTTTTTCTTTCTTTTTTTTTTTTTTTTAAAATTGATTGCAAATTGTGGGCACGGGTCTTAATCTAAGTCCATACTAACTTAGCCACTATCCTCTAGCATATTCTCCGCTTGAACATCTTTTTTCCTGGCACGATGTTTCCGCGTTGGTTGTTTACAGCGCTTTGTGTTTTACTCTTCGGATGTGCGGGAATGAACCCCGAGGAAACCTCGAATGACAGAACTCCGAGATAGCTAGTCAGTTACGAGTTGGGGATAAGGGTTGAAAACTGCCTACCACGCTGGAGAACTGAAATATCTGCGAGTGGATCGCTAAATGTGTGACAGTAAGATCAATCCACTAGATGCAAATTTTTGGAAGCTCAATCACAACTAGTCATAGTAACTGATGCCATGTACCATGGCCGTTGATCCCCAGCTGCCTTCCTTTTTACCCGCCTGAAAATCATCGCATTTTACGATTGTATGGCTTGAATATTCATTCTAAAATCATCTCGCTGTGAAGTTCGACCCTTTACCCCTAGCATTTCTAAAGTTTCAACCTAATCAGATGAAGGCGTGAAGAGGGGGAACACCTTTTCTATTACAGCCGTGTGAATCTCAATTGCATCATTTGCATTTGACAGTGGTTGATATCCATGGGTATGCAGTGGGTGAGGAGTTACTGAGGTGAGGGGAGGGAGCTAGGAAAACTTTAAATGCTTGTCAGAATGAGCAAAAAACCCCATTTTCGCTGGGTGAGCTCTGTTAGTTGCTTCAGTCGGAGATATGTCTCATTTGGGATAGTTTGAGTTGAATAAAGATGAAGACTAGATATGAATATAAATTGATATTCTTATCCAGAATATGGTTCTGTTAGCCCAGGATAGGAGAATGATAATCTCCCGGGCATTACAGACATAAAAAGATGAATAGGATGCGGAATATGTGGCGTGAGTAGGCTTCGCGATAAAATTCATGGCTCAAAGATGGCCAAGAAAATGCTCCTTGAAAAGAGATCCCCACCATCACAAAATATGCTTGTGGCGCTGTCTGAAGTTTCGAAGATCACGCTCACAGGAAACCTTGTGGTCCTTGTTCTTCATCCCAACGTAGTTTTGAGGTGTGCAGAGCGGTTTCTGTTCGGCAAAGAATGCGCTGTAACCACCGTTCAATATGTACATCCCAGGACACGTCAGATTGGGATAGGTATCGATGTTGATAGCGCGGTCTTTCTGACGAACGCGCTTGGCCACCATGGGAGCGCGGTACGCAGAGTACTCACAGTGCAGAACTAGGGCCGTGCGGGTCCTTTGGAACTTGAATAGATCCACGAGAAGGCTCTGTTCATCACTGCAGTGAACAGCGCCATTGATGTGGCCACCGTCGAACTCATATTTGAAACGGCAGTCGATGATGATAATATCGTCGAACTGGCCTGTGAATTTACCATCCATGAGGTCAAGCAGAGTTTGAGTGTTGATGCGGGGCACTGCTTGATCATCGGGGATGAAATAGGGCACCTTGATGCTGGGTGGCTTCTGGGTGTCACCTATATGCTGCATCGATGTCCTTGTCGCTCCATTGATGTTTTGGGCGGCAATGACACCTCCAGAACAACCAAGCCATCCAATCGGCCCGCCAAGTGCTTCGCTTTGAGTGATCAGGGTACCGGATGATTTGGGAATCGAGTCGGGAAGGGCGTGTGGAGATGGCGACCGAAGAGACTGCGTTCCCCGCCCCATGGAGAAACTTTCCGTTGATGTAAAACATCCGTGTGGAAGAGAAGAGTCAGATGTTGCCTTCGTCAAGCCCGAAGAAAATCTGGCTCTGGTGCCAGGTCGAAGCAACGAAGCTTTTCTGTTATGCACTGGTCGGAACCCGCTCGCAATCTGAGAAGATCGACTTTTGCGTTGACCAACATTGGGGCGAGCCTCCTTTTTTCTCTTGTCCGATCGACCGCTACCGGAGGAAGAGAAGGTTATTCCTAGTTCCGCAGTGCCGGTCCAATTCGACATCTTGTAGGTTAGGGGGGACATATCCTAGGTAAGAATGACTGGCGCGGATGGATTGGATTCTAGAAAACCAGAATCGACCATCTTGACCCTATTTATCATATCAGTATCCGACTTCGGGCTGATGTGTCGCTAGCAAATGATGTTTCATTGGCCTGGGTACTAGCGTCCAGCGGACCGGCACTATCTCCCTAATTGGCCGGATGATATTTCGACTAAGAAACCACGCGGGATTAAATCTCTTGGAGTTTTGTTGTTAATGCGAATAACGGCGAGAGACTGGTTATTCTCATGATGACAGTCATGCTCTACCTCTGGCTTGGACGGTCTAGGCCATTGTATTTGTCAATTTCTGATTCCCAAGACACCGTGTTGAAGTCAAGATTACTCCCTGCTGGAACCAAAAATTTTCCGATGAGACAAATAACTTCATGTCTTACTATGAAAATGCGCCCTCTACTCGCCCGGGCGTCTAGTCCGACGGATTGTATGTATCCCGCGAAAGATTACGATATCATTTTTTGAAGGCAAGCTTAAAGCTGATCGATGGCTCCCCACAAGGCCTGCGGATAGTGGGACAGAAGAAGGTTAAGCCAACCAGTCTCAACCCAGTGCGGGAGTTCTGGGAAGCCGAAGAGGTTCTAAAGTTAAGGTTATGGTAACTAAGATGAGGTATAATCAAACCACCTTCCATGCCGAAAATACCTCTGATTCATGCTGGGCAAAGCCACCTGAAAATGGCCATTTCCGCTTGTGGAAGTGGATATCAGGAATAAAAGCCGCAACATCGGACAAAATTCCGGCATTGTTTATACGAGCACGGACTCGCAACCAATTTGGACTTCACGCTATCTATATGGTCTTTTGTAATCTCATCAGAAAATACAATGAATATCCCTCTGAATTGCAACAAATACCATCAGATTTCAGCATTCAACGCCTCACACCTGGGCAAGGCCCACTATTTGAAGCTTAGATGGGATGCATTCTTGTGGAAAACGGACCTGGAAAACATTTCGCAATTTGGATTACACCCAAGGAACGCGATTTTAATTGAATGACAAATTCTTGTAGGCCACTATTACATTGAGAAAAATCAGGATCAAGTGCATTATCCAATACCCGAGGTCATGACCGCATGAGACATCTTTGTCCAACTGAGTCACCTTTCAAAGGAGATCGCGCTATCAGATCACTGTCAATATTTTTGAGCATCCGTGCCAAATGTGGCTCCATGCCATTACCTTTCGAACTACGAGAAGAACCCAAAAAGGGCCCCGACCTGCGACCGTGGTCTTTGGAAATCGAGGAATACAAATAAGATGACCCTTCTTTATCTCCCGAGTATCCCAACTGCATGACCACTATAGACTCATGTCCTCAGCCAGGTTGCTTCTGACGCAATTGAAGGCGATAGAGAAGGGCATCTCTGAGATCTCCGGCATACTCGATGAGGTGGCCCGTGAGATATCATCCGAGACCTGCATAGAACACGACTCTGCGGACAAGCGCATCACGAATAGTCCCCTCGCGTGTCCCAGGTGCAATGGGCTTGGTCAGAAAATGGACAACGGGGTGCTTCAGCGCAAGCCCCAGCGTGCGTTACGAAACCACAAACAAGAAATCGGATGTGCTGTACCGGAATTCCATGAACCCATCTATCTTCTTAACGGGGGAAAAGGATGCGGCAAACGAGAAATCTTCGGATGTTGGGTGGTTTTCATATCATGTGTCGCGTTCGGGCTGTCGTTATGTTTCCAGCATGCCGATCTCCTGAGGAGTTGTTACAACTGCATTTTGAGGTTCATTGATGAGCGCCGTATGCAACTTGAAGGATACCTCCCGACTCAAAAACCTCAGTCCGCTGTGGTAAAGAAGTTGTTTGTAGATTAGATTATAGAGACAACTAATGCATCTTGATCTATCCTTTTTGGTCCCACTGGTAACACCTTAACTTCAGAAAATGATAGTATTTCGATTACCTACAACTACCTAGGCCTTGTCGCGTCGGACTGTCGCAAACACGGTTACTTATATCTTCGCTATATGAACAAGGCTTCCCGTGGTAGATTATACCATTTTTCAAGTCTCGGTGTTAGATTGTACTTGAGGCATGCGACTGTCAAAATACCGTTCTCCCTCAGAAAGCCTTACTCTGACAGAGAGGCAAGAATTAGCGACCCTGAACAAATCAGCCACACGAGGAAGCATAGGCTTGGCCCGCAGCATTGAGGGCCCCGTGGGAGAGAAGGTACCCCTCAGCACACATAAAATAAGAGTAACGAGTGACCATAGACTGTGAATCAAGCCAGGGGGTGATGCTTTCAATGAATGCCTCAGTAGTCGCCTGGTTCACCACACCCGAGGTGTCGGCATTGAGCGCAAATTCTGTAATCCAGACCTCAGCGAGTTCATGCGACCTAGCGAAGTTGATGACATTGTGAATGAAGGATTTGAAAGCGTCGGCCGAGTCGCCGTACCAATGAACAGCCGCGACGGAAATGCCACAGTCAAAACAGAATTCCATAAACTTGTCCAGCCAGTCAAGCCCCATGCCCGTCGAGATAGATGAAGTTACTGCAGGGCTGACTAGCTTCGCTCTATCCTTAAAATACGTGATGTGATTGCGATAATGAGTTGCGGCCACAGAAGGACTCATGTTTGACTGTGATGACATGTCAGGCTCATTGAAACCAAGAAGATAGGTGCTGCCATTGGCAAGGCTACTCTCCGTCAGCTCTACCCAATGATCAAACTCAGTCCCCCAAAGCATAGGGACAAACTCGACTCCAAATGGAAGCTCGTTCAGCTCACTCATGGCCCAATTATAGGCCCATGATATCGTACCAGATCCATGGAGCAGTGGAACAGTTGCAATGTCATTGTAGGCAGCGCCTCGCTTACTAGTACTTCCTCCTTTGACACGAGTCAAGTAAGCCAACAGGCTTACGAATAAGAACGTCACCACCAATATCATGCCTAGAGAGTGAGACTCTGGAAAATATGCTTCAGGCAGATCCTTCTAGCCTTTAAAGCTCGAAATCCATTGAATATTAGACCCGTTGGGGGAAAGAATCTTGATTTGACCTGAATCTCGCAACAACAAAAGTAAACCTGAGTGCTACATTAAGCCTTTCATTATATATTTGGTAATCTGAAGGTACTCACTACACTTTCCGCTATTGCTGCGCCGCTCTATCACATAGCTGCACCATGATGACCCGGTCCAAGAATAGGCTGGGTAACATAAAATGGGATAATCGTTCCTTGCGCTCGCCGCAGATGAAGATTTCTTTTGGAGAGAAGGGTTGGAGAATATGCATATATTGTAGGATCAACTGACCCCAGATCCACATCTTGAAATGTCTGGTATATACTCAAGTATGTTTTCCCGAAAAGTGAATTCAAAGTTCAGCCAGAATAATAATAGGAATTATTTCCAAAACCTCCGAGTAGCAAGCGCAGAAGACCATATGCACAGAGCAAGCTTCTAAGAATAGTTCTCAACCAGCGGCATACAGATCATTTCAGGGGCAACATGCCCCTGCACTAGAAGGGGCTAAGATTTGGAACATGAATTCACATATCTTGCTTCTTCTCTTGTTCCTCTTAATGAATCGTCTCGATCCTCCTCAGGGGTCTTTGGGGTCTCCAATATCCTGGCTAATCTTTGCAAGTGATTGGGAAGTATTTCAGCTATTTGTTAATCTTCTTCAACTCTTGTGAAAGAAGAGTCTGCATTGTGCAATATTGTTATCACTTCTCCTCGAGATTATCGATGTTAGCCGAGCGATTCATAATGTGGCTGTCTTCTTTACTGAATGGGGGGCTATCTTGCGATCTGTAAAATAGTAGTATACGGTTTGATACGGAAGTGCTCGATTTTCGGTAAAAACTAAGTCGGTGATTACTCAGGCAGAAGTTCTAGATATCTCCGCCTCTTGTAGAACAACCCACGGAAAGCTATAGCATGTATGATACAACCATTCCTTAGGCTTTGAGATATGACACAAACCTAACGTGATGAAGTTATGAATTAACGCGATACAATCATAAAGATATTTTGAGTACGCGTATGATACTTAGATATGTATTAACGACAGGTTCGGGTACGGGCCGAGAAAGAAGGCTGAGGGAACCTGATCTCGACTCTTCGTAACCATCCTTTTGCTCTTAACCAAGGGCCACACCCCGAACAGACATTGACCACACAGATTTCGCTTAAGCTGACTTGGATGAATCAATTTTTTTCCCATACATTTTCGGCCAATCTTCCCCCAAGAGCTGAAGAGCGTGGGATGTACCGATATCAAGATCGGAAACTCTGATTCTTGCACGATAGTTATTTCTATGCTGGATATCGCTTATGTCACAATCTCGCAGGCCAATGAACGACCCGAATCTCATACGTTTGGTGTACAGAGTAGTGTCTCTCTCCTCTGGGGTACCAATCCAGGGAGACATCAGAGTTGGATATTGCCAACTTGCATGGGTAGGTGGCCATGTTTGATGAAAGTGGCGGGCGAGCCTGTCAAGTTGACGCGATGTCAAGAGATTAAACGCCAACATTGTTTGTGGAAACTCCGGGTGTAGCCGGCCTGTTGTGACAGAAACTAGCGGAGCCAACGGGGCGTTGAGATGACGGACAAGGCCAAGAAAGGAGTGACGGACGCTCGATTCAGCACCCCGGCCGAGTGTGTTTGGACTAGGCGCGGTCTTTGCCTTGTGCAAACGTGAAACCGAGGATCGATGACACGAACGACAAGGCGTTCGCTTTGCGTGGAGGCATCTCTGAATCTTTCGGCCCGGCATGCTGCATCAGTCGGTCAACATCCTGACGAAAAAATGTGAACTACTTGGGGGTTTATAACAGTAGCTAGATGTAGAATGGCAGAACTGATGGCCGAATATTTTGATACAACATGATTTAAAAGGCCACAAACCGACCAACATCTATGACAGAAATAGATGACCTGTGTTTGGAACTCCGTCTTCGGTATTCCGTCTTGAATTTCCCTAGTTCCACATACAGATTCCTTTTTTACTGGCGTCGGTGGTGAGCGAAATGGACCAAAAGAGAATGTTGCAACTGGGATGATACTTTGAAGCCTTCCCTATCTATCTCCCAAGTCTTCGTAGAACCACTTCCACACATCAGGCTGAACCGTCAGGAGGACTCCAGGGCTCCAGGGCTCGCTCTCTCAATTACTTAAGCACACCGGGATCCCGAGGTCATCCCGGTGAGGGTAGGTACAGCAGTAGGAGCTCACGATTAGTTGGTAGACACTATGGGAGACATCCCCCCCCCACTCTGTTCTGCCGTATCATTGCTAGCACCCGCCAGGTATTGTAGCGGTCCTTGCACGATACGACCTTGGGCAGTCACTAATTTCGGTCGATATTTCCTGCACAAAATGATCAATGCCTGTGTAGGCCTCTCTACCTATCTGGGCTTCCATGCTCTAGTTTGGTAGTCATTTTGTAGATTTTTCCTGCTCTTTTCTCTGCTCATGACCTGTGATCGAAGATTTTACACTTCCGCCGGGATTTACAAAAATACCATGTACAGCACAAAATCAATGCGTCTTTCAAACAGATGAAGATGCAGCCCCCAATGATACTCCGGCCTCCCCGGCTTTGAAGAAGAGTAATCTGGCGACCACCCACATCAGATGAGCCAATAGTCCAATCGGTAGACAGTACCAAATTGAGCAAATCGCCCATTCCTCCAAAGAGAGCAGGCATAACAAATGCCAAGAGAACATTGACCTCGTAGCTAACCACATTTACCGTAATGCGCTGCTCCTTTGGGCGAAATAAAAACCCCGCCTGGGGGATTTCATGATGGGTCTGCATGAAATCGGCCACTGTTGCCCTCCATCGTCTCTCTGCTCCTGATACCAGATTCAGGTGCAGGCCTTGATACATCAGTCGGAGACCGGAAAGCAAAATACCTCCCTGGATCGGCGTGACATGCCCAAACACAATTTGTGATCTTCCCCAACACACACCGGTCAACAGAACAAGCCAGAAGGCAAAGTTTGCCACACGGTGATCGGAGCGTAGTATGGCGGTTGCAGGTAACATCAAAGCCGGTAGTAAATGCCGGTTGATGCCCTGCCGATCTTGTTGATTGAAGCCAAACATCAAGTACAGTGAGAGCGAACCATGCACATAGCACCCTGCCAGTAGCAAACACAGAATGAGAAATCCCATAGAAGGCACAGTTCCCAGATACACGGCCCTTTCGACAGCAAGGAAAATGTTGCCAAGAACTGTGTGAGGCTGGATGAAACGTATCTTCATCCGGCAACAAGGGCAAACCACACCTGACGCATGGCGATCGTCGATGGCTGGGTTTGACTGCAGGTGCGATATCCAAGCTAGCAGACATGACTCATGTGCTTTCAATCCGCACGGACAGGGTGAACTCCAAACGGATGATGGGCATTCCTCTTTCGTATCATCCTGGTAGCATATCCAGCATTCGGTTTGAGTTCCATAATTTGCCATATGCTATGTCAAGGTGGTTCCAAGGGGAAGATGATGCAAGACTCTATGGTATGAAATATAGCTGAGCGAGGAGGTTGAATGTGATCAGCATCAACGAGAAAACTAGTAACGGGGCCTTGATGGAAATAAACGGCGGGATCCTGCCATAGCGGGGCATTGATGAGGAGCAAGGAAGCACACGTAGATTCTTGGCTGGTTAGCAAAACATTGCAGATGGGATCTCACCATCCGCAGGTTACTTCTGATAGAGCGAGCGAGTGACATGCGACATTTGTATTGTTCACATATAGCATAGATAAACACTTGCTCCGAACGCACTGCCAGTCTCGAAAAGCTGGATTACATCAGCATACGAGGACGTCGAGATATGCAAATACCATCACACACTAATGCCAAGACAGATGAGATCCGTTTCGCGTATTTTCGGCTCCCGATCACCCAACGTCCGAAGGCCATGTAGATCAAGACGATGCTGAAACGTCTCGCATTGTCCTTTTTTGGCAATTGGAAGCCCTTAATTCCCTTCATTGCCTGTAGCTGTAAAGCGATTTCATTCCTACTATAAAGCTAGCATAATCACCAGGTCTTCTACGGGGTGTGTATTTATCGAATCCAAGAAATTTACCAATTTCTACTTCTCCAAAAAGAAAAGAGGAATGACTCCATAGTGTAATCCAACTTTGAATACTGCGGCAGATAGCTGTACCTTCCTCCTATTCTCTAATATTGCTCGCTGCTCAAGTGTCATTAGAACGATCGACTTAGACTTTGGATTACATGTTGGTCCCCCAAGACACCTTTTCCTCAGCCTGTCGCACCTTCTATAGGGGAAGGTGTAGGTCCTATTTGAAGAGACCTGTCAATCAATATTTCACCGGATTAAGCCATTCAGAGGCTTTCAAATCATATTCAAGCAATTCAGAGCTTTCTAGCTCGTCGTCTACATCGATGGGGGTATGTACACATTGTAAGCGCTAAGCGCTAGGTTGAGAGGACTCTCGAAAGAGTGGTCGGAGAATGACACATTGCCGAAAGACCCCGAAGGGTATGTAAATGCACAGCGGTCAATGAAGAGATCCAGAACAGATTACTGCATACAGAAATAGGTTGGTTGGCTAGTAGAATGATCATAGGTCCAAACATGTTTCGGATCACAGCGCTCGAAATGGGAGCAGCAGGGCAGCCAAACTAGGACCACTCGGCTTTAGGTATCCGTCCATTGCCAAAAGAACCAAAGGTCCTATCGCATAACCAACATGTGGCCAATCTTAGCTGAGGGGCCCCTTCGATACAGCAGTCTTTCAAAGGCTAACACGAGGCTTGCCAAAATACTGTTCCCAAATCCTGACAGCAGGACGGACAACTGCTTTTGAAGCCTCCAAAATGCAATTTTGATCCATAACCGTGTGGAAGGGACACCAACGCCAGAAGGTCGTTTATGGAGCTCGGCTACAACAAATATGGACTCTCCCTATTCCATATCCATTGAAGACAAAAGAACTTGCTCAACCAATCTATCTCATGCACAGCCCACGGAGAGCAAAACATGTACTTCGTCCTTGCTTTCTTCTTGTGCGTAGCACAGCTCACCAGTGCAGCTTGCAATCACACCTTGGCCAACATCAATGTAACTGAAATTGCTTCCCGTGATACTCAGATGTTTCGATCCGTGGCCTACTTTGTGAACACAGTATGTCTGTTCTTGACACGCCACGACACGGTCACATAAGCTAAGCAATCACATCCAGGGCATTTACCGTCGTAACTTTCAGCCTCAAGACATCCCGGCTGAGCGACTCACTCATATTCTCTACGCGTTTGCGGATGTCCAGGCCTCCGGTGAGGTGGTCCTGTCTGACAGCTGGTCGGACGTGGACAAGCACTACTCCACTGATTCATGGTCCGATACCGGAAACAACGTCTATGGTTGCATCAAACAGCTTTTTCTACTCAAGCAGAAAAACCGCAAGCTCAAGGTTCTTCTGTCGATCGGAGGATGGAGCTTCTCTTCCAACCTCCGAACAGCCTTTCAGACCGAGACGGGACGCCAGAAAATCGCTGACAGCTCCGTCGAAATGTTGAAAAACCTCGGTCTTGACGGTATTGATGTTGATTTTGAAGTGTGCATATTATCTTGCTTCTCGGTATATGACGCTGACATCAGATAGTACCCTAAAAATGACAAGGAAGCGAGCCAATTTGTTGACACCCTCGGCCGTCTTCGCGAGGTAAAATTTTGATGTTTGCTTTTTTTGCCGACTCTGCTGATTCGAACCACTCCAGGCGCTTGATTCGTACAGCCGAGCCAACGCTGGCGGCCATCATTTCTTGATCACTGCTGCATCCCCGGCTGGTCCGTATTGTTTCTCTTTCGCAGCCAAACGGAAATAGCTAATTCAAGTTCTAGGTCCCGCAAATTACGAGAGGGAGCATCTCGCTCAGATGGACCGGTACCTTGATTTCTGGAATCTGATGGCCTACGATTACGCTGGAAGCTGGGACACCGTTGCTGGCCACCACGCCAACCTTCACCCTTCCAATAGCAACCCAGGAAGCACCCCCTTCAACACAGACCAAGCGATCGAGTACTATACGTCGCATGGAGTGTCATCGAATAAGATTGTTATGGGTATGCCTCTGTACGGTAGGGCTTTCACCGACACCACTGGCCCCGGTGAATCCTACACTGGCATTGGTGGTGGTAGTTGGGAAGATGGTGTGTGGGACTATAAGGCACTACCCCGGCCCGACTGTACCGTGACAAATCTGGACCAGGAAGTTGCCAGCTACTGTTACAACTCAAAATCGCGCTTGTTGATCAGTTATGATACCCCCGAGATTGCACGCAAGAAAGGGGAGTACATCAAGTCCAAGGGCCTTGGTGGAGGTATGTGGTGGGAGCTCAGCGGCGATAAATCGGGTAATGACAGTCTGATTGCTACGGTATGTCTGGTTCATATAGGATATATGATCATATAACTGACGTGAGAGTTGTGCAGGTTGTAGACTCCTTTGGGGGCACTGACGCTTTAGACGGCAGCAGGAATCATCTGAGTTATCCAGCCTCTCAGTATGACAATCTGAAGGCGGATTTCTCATGCTGACGTGAAGGTCTATGTCATAGGCAGTCACCCTATGTCCACATGGGAAATCGGAGGTATTGCCTTAGGAGAATCGCCAACAGTACTTGTGATATGACTGAACGCTGGCCATCAACTTATGTCGCTGTAATGCTCGTCATTAGAAGGCCTCGGCATTCTGAGATGTGTCGGTCTGCGGTGTTCAGAATAAAAGGCACGATATTCTTGGATATTACCACGAACGTCAGCTTTGACTTTTCCTTATGAGGAATATATTACTCTTTGAAATTGGTATCATAAATCACACTGTTCCTTCCTCCCTTTATGTAATTGGGAAGATCAAGGTCAGACATCCAGGCAACTGCGTGGGAATGCAAAGGACCCTCCGCTTAGATGCTGTAGACTCCAGGAGCTTGATGGGAGCCAAAGCAAACACACATGATCTGGAATGACGAAGTATGCAAGGGAACTCTTTTTGCAGGGCATCTCAAAAAGACACAAGTAGAAATAACGAAAATGCATTGACTATACGTAATTCAAAAGAGATTAGAGCCGCGCTGAAAACATATGATAGTCTCGAGGCTCACAGAGCCACAGCATTGGTGCTCAAAGACTTCAGGACAACACGGGTATGTTGTGGACAGCGGAACGGCACAAAGTAAGCTTCAAGTATCCCGAGGTGATTCATAGCAATACTTACAACTTTCAAGAAAACATGATCATATAGCTCCGGGATACAGCAAAAGATTTTGCACGCCAAACTTGGAGCGCTTTTATTCTCAAGTTTCAGGGTACGGACAGTTTTGGAAACCAACCAGCCTGGCCTCGTGAATTTAAAGATTCTCTAAGCAACCATCCAAGTATAACGAGACTAGGCGCTTGGGTAGCACAACCTATGCACTGCAAATTATTGTAGGTGTATTCAAATCAACAGTATATGCATGGCAAGAACTAGGACATGACAAGTTTATGCTGTCAGAATGGAAGAATCGTGCATCTGCATTACAGCACCATCTCTCCGTGTGCTGATCCCCTTGGATTTACCATACGTCAGTTTTGTTGCCTTTGAATAGCCGATGAAAGGACATATATCCAAGTCAGTACCATCATACATATTACATTATCATGTCGCACGGAAGAACACCTTGTGGTTTCTCAGGTGTGATTTTGCTATTCTGCATACAACTATAGCCTATTCGAGTTACCTCGCTCAGTTTCCCCCTTGTCCACGTCTCTTTCTCGAGATTCTATCTTCGATCCAATACTCTACCCGGGTTTATGATCCCAGAGTGACCCTTATATGGCACAAACATGTCAAAAGCTTCCCTCGATCTGGCTGCCAAGAGGCTGCGCGGTTGCACTGGCAAGAATCATGTCAGCGCTGAAGTGAGTTCTGAAACTGATCTGGCGGGGGCTGTCAGGAATTGACTCCCATTAGGATATCCACCCCAAAGGACAACAAGCTTCACGCTTCGGCTTCGACGTCGAAAAACAGATACCAACATGTCGCAAGGCCACCCCATCAGGCTTGTCAGAGAATGACAGCGAGGTCCTGAGCAAGGTCAAGCGCAGGGCCTACCAGCTGGATTATGCTCTATTTAACTTTTGCGGAATCCACTTTGGCTGGGGCAGTGTCATTGGACTCGTCCCACTGTAGGTCTTTTTATCGTTCCTTACATCCGGGAGACCAATGCTAACTATGAATGGGCTTCAGGATCGGTGATGCTAGCGATACTGCACTCGCGATCATGGTCGTGAGATCCTGTGGAGAAATTGACGGCGGACTTCCTGCAGACCTACGCCTGAAGATGATGGGCAACGTGATACTCGACCTCCTCATTGGACTTTGTCCACTCGTTGGCGATCTTGCTGATGCAATATACAAAGCCAACATCAGGAATGCGCACATTCTTGAAACCTACCTGTGTGGAAAGGATGCCGAGGGCGCCTCAAATCAGAGCGAACGACTGGAGCAATCGGCTGAAGTCGATCACAGTCTGTGCGATGCATTTGTCAGACAAGGCAGGGAGGATGTGGGAGATAAGCCTCTGGCAGGCAAAGATGTACGACTATCTAGTCTTGGGGCAATACGCAACGCAGATCCCGAGGCTTCCACTAGAATAGAACCCGCCTAAAATTCTAGAAGAGACCATTCTTTTTGGCAGGTGCTGGGTGGGTCCGATAACCCTGAAGAGGATCTGTTGGCCAGCAGCGGTCCTGGCAAGATTAGTCCATTTACTCCTACCATGCAAGCCAGTCATCATTGTCCTCGCCGACGCTCATCGGGCTGAGGCCATCCGCTCCCGGAGCTATGTTGAGAGGCTCAGTTCTGTTCTGTCTAGTGGGCAACTGTGGGTTTGTTACCGCCTCGGAGGTTGTCTCAACACACAGCAAAAACTTGACAACAAAAACATATCAGGAACAATATCTCATGCGGTGCTGACTAGAAATGTAGTCTTGGTTGTTATACTCACAATATACTATTATATCCCACGTCGCGAAGACCCAGAGTAATCAGATTAGAAAGCAAGCATAAACCACATTTGGCATACGCAAGCCTTTCATACTTCATGTGTAAGATACTTCATGTGTAAGAGATAGATACTGCAGCACTTATGGAGTCAGCCGTCCCTGTCTAAACCTGAGCGCCAATCAGGTTCAAGGTCGCCTACAAATTCCAACTAGATGGGCCAATTCGGGAAGACAGAGAGCATAACCATTCCGTAAATACTGATTTCATTCATTGTTCTCATAGCCGGATGTTCTCTCCAATGGTTCTGCTGGGGCCGGGGTCTTCCCGGTACAAGCTCTCACGCATGCGCTCAATCCTTCCCATGAGAATATGTCCATTTCATCAAGATGATCAAGATATGGAGTCGGCTGTCTAGTAGCTTTGCCCTGCTCAGCTCTGCACATTGATGAGGCCTAATCTCTGTCACAATCCTCCGAAAAGCGGATTTGTGAAAGCATGCTCTGGGTGGTACTGATTTGGGAGCTGAGACCAGGTTGACAATGTTCACAGCTCGACTCCGCCAGAGGTGCTCTCCCAATCCTGCATACTTTCCGGGAAAGAATGGCAAGAAACAGGTGGTATTTTAGGGAAGAGACCCATGCATATTGCTTGACTCATGGTTAGTTAGTGCTATATATCAAGCCAGTAGGGTTCCTACCTATCGTGGCATCATTACCCTCTGACTTTCCGTACAGCGGACTGTTGCTTTATTAGTAATGTAGCCAGCGGTGAACAGGGTGATATCGAGGAGAAAGGGTGAACCAGAATCATTGTGATGGTACAAATGCCTCTTTATCCATCGGTAGAGAGGGGCAAGAAAATGCGGAGTATCACTTACCAGCCACATCCCGGACAGAAAAAGCGCTTCATGGGGGCACCTGAATGTGTTGAGGTCTGCACATACTCACTGGGTTGCATGTGTTGTGTAGGGAGTTCGCCCCACCCCAAAATAGTAGAGAGCTCGCAGCCTCTTAGCTTCTCTCTCTCTCCCTTCTTCTTTCCCTCACAGTCAATTCTCGGTTCAGTCTCTTTTCTCTCGCCGTGCCTTCTCAACAGCATGTCCGCGTTCACGGTGAATTGGACACGTTCTTGGGGAACAAAGGTGATGTACATGCCATCTAGGATTGCAAATTCATTGATTAGTGCCGGTCCAAAGCATGTTAAGTGAACGGGGAGTGACGTACAACCGCCTCCTTGTTTGACACACTCTGAGCAATGGCAAGCTATTGTTTTCTCTGTGTGGATGTCAAGACCAGTGAGTGTGATGGTGAATGCCTTACAATTGCAGGACCCCGGGGATGACATGTTCTTGTTGGGTAGTGGTGTTCGGGCGAAGCTCAGTAGAGATGTAAGACGGTGTGCTGTGGAAAACAAAGCTATAGAGCTTCGGGGTCCAATAAATTTATACGGCCCTGGAAGATAGCGGTCACGGTATGGTATGCTCATCGAAAGCCGCTCACAATTCATAACTGTTAAGAAATACGTGAAATCTGAATTCCAGATTGTGGTGCGTGAAATTTCAATACAGCCAACAAGCCTATGTGGGTGGAATGATGATAGCTCTAGCAAATAACCCCATCCGGTTGCGTCCGCGGGCTGGAAGAACAGGACCCGGGTACGGCAACTATATGGGATAGCACTTGTTACACTAATATCATCAAAACATTTATGGTAAGACCTCTGTCTTTACACGGCGTTGCACAACCATGGTCCACAGCGAACCAATTATTCTGGTGCAAAACTCCATAATCTTCGTAGATATGTACATACATCTAAGCATAATTATAAGTTAAAGTTTCTACGCTTCTCACTCTCTACTGCGCGCAGGCATTACTCTTTCTACCTTCACAACTCTCTAGGCTATTTTGCTCGCTGGTTAATCGAAATCTGTAACTAGTGATCAATATGTTATGGACATGTTGTAACGTTGCCGTACCGTATCGAATATGTCTAGTTCTAGAGCCCTGTGTTATGTGCCTTTCAGAGTCAGAGCCATTGCCCATATGGGAAAGCCTGGCTTTTCCGTATGTAAAGACAACCATAAACGCTAGATTCTATGGCCGAAGTCAACGACCTAGCGCCAAGCGTACTCGCCCAGCTAAAGATTCTAGGCTGGCTAAAAATTATTGAGGACAATAGTGATATTGAGTTGGAATATGGGTAGATACATAAATCTTTTTACCCACAGGAGGTTTTTTTCCCCCGAATACGTAGTTGTGAACCATAGCCGGATCACAGGGCTACCACGGAATCCAAAGTATGGAAGGATGGCAAGATTTTCCACAGTGAAACATGCCCTGAGCTGAGGGTAATTTTTGATTAAATAGGAGTAAATGTATAACCCTGGCCCCAATTATATCACGAGATACTTGCGCCATCATGTCCCCCCCCCCCCCCCCCCCCCCCCCCCCCCCCCCCCCCCCCTCTGACGAATCTTCGTAAGCTTTTCCACAACAGGCAGTGAGGGACAGTTCAACTCCTTTTTTCCTACATATATATATATATAGTAACGAGCCATCTGCTCAAATCTTGTTAGTCAATCAAGGGATATATCCTGTTTTAATACCACGTGCTATATGACTCTATGCGGGTGGGTAATTGGCTATTGAATTTGTGGCCAGAGGGAGTATTCAGTCGATTATATGCAACAACTTTAGAATCTGGCGCTCTTTTTTCCACACACGCGGTGCCTAATTTGAATGGGTAGGCATCTTCGGGTAAAATGAGAAAAAGTGCTTCCTAGGCTGCTCATACTGTTCTGGGGGCTCCGTGCATTTTACGGGTAGGAATTGGGACCTCTGGATTCACTGTCAAACTCTCTATAACAGGCCGGGTTGATTTTCAATCATCGTATGTGGTGAAAAATGGCGGCTCAAGGACCTCTGGCAGTAGACATACGATCCCTTGACGGATTTGGTGTAACATAGATGAACATTGAGCTACACCGTCACCACATAGATTGAGATGAATAGATCCCGGTGAATAATCGACGGTCGGATCGGATAGTAGGTCCATGCAGTAATTACCTTGCCTCTCAGGAGCTGAATCGACTGATCATGATTACATCAATGCCGAGGCGGGTTATGATTTACAGTCGGCTGTATCGTTTCGTTCTCGCTTTCTTTTTGTCAGCAGACGCCTCGTTGCTTGTTTTGGCTCTTTGAGTAGTCTAGGAGGAAGGCAAACTGATATATATTTTCTATTATTATATGTTTTCTATTAAGATCCCACACAAAACAACAATACCAATCTATAACCTTAGAAAATAACAATCCAATTTGAACGCAAGATGTTAGGAATTGACTTTTTGATCAGGCTCACATATATAACATAGCCAAATGTTCACTCAAAAAGGTTTGATTTCCTAGGAAGCCAGCTTAACTCATATCATATTGTCTGAGGTAGCAAAGTAGATGGCAAAAAGAAGAACATGGCCCCAGCAATAACAGCAAACCACTATGGCCTTCTGGGCTTGAAGCGGAATGCGAGCTCACGCGAGATCAAAAGCGCCTTCCGAAAGTTAAGTAAGCAAGGGACGATCCCTGCAGAGATGAGGAGATATTAATTTGCAGGCCTGAAATATCACCCCGACAAAAACCCGAATGAGCAAACAGAATCGACAAAACAGTTTGTTGCTATCCGCGACGCATCCGAGGTTTTATTGGATCCCGTCAAGCGGAAAGAGTATGATGAGGGTCTCAGGCGCCGCGGCGCGGCGCCTGTTCAGCATGAGCATCCGCCCCGGCCCGCCAGGGGCGGAACTCATGCGGATGGGTCTACCAGTAATAAGAGCTCAGGTTTCGCTTCAACCCATAATACAGACTCAACCTTTCGCAATAGAGGGTTCACTGGCCCTGACGAAGCCCAGCAGTCAGGTTCGGCTCATAACCCACAAAAGGCGTGGAATAAACGTCCTAGCTCAGGATTCGCTTCAACCCATAATACAGACTCAACCTCTCGCAAAAGAGGGTTCGCTGGCCCTGACGAAGCCCAGCAGTCAGGTTCGGCTCATAACCCACAAAAGGCGTGGAATAAACGTCCTAGCTCAATGAGCGGTAGAGCGTCCGATATGCCACGGGCAGGCAGAGATAAGACTTTCGCTTTCACCAATACCACGCGCATAAACAAATCACACGGTGAAGGCAGGTCAAAGTTCTCGCAGCAACAAACGAACCCGCAATCAGCGTCGTCTTTCTACAATCCAGGTTTGGATAAGCCACACAGAGCATCTCGCAGGACAAGGTTCTCTACCCCGGGTGGGACGTATTCAGCTAAGCAGTCAACTAGCAAACAATCAACTCCATTCTCAAGAGAAAATACAGGAGGTGAGAGAGATGACCATTCTGCCACGGCGGATCATAATGTCTCATTTGCGAGCTCGGCCGCATTTTGGCTGTCCGTAGATTGGACCTGGGTCTTATGGGGCAGCCAAGCAATGTACTGGGCTAGCAACGCTTCGGAGAAGTCACGACCGCGCGGCCCATTGCGCGGAAGAGACAACAGCAGATGTTCAGAAACCTCGGCTCACGGAAGATCATATTGGAAGTCATACCTAAAACGAAAAGTCTCTATGCGTCATCCCACCCTACCCCAATACAGCACTACACATTCAGGACTCCGAAG